AAATGCATTAAATATTTATATTCTTAAATACTTGTCCACATCTTGGATTAGGATCTAACTTTAGGTTGTATTCCTAGAGGCAGGTTGATTTCAAGTTGACGTTACCCTTTAAGAAATATTTACCTTACCACGTTAGTCTTATTTGCCCAGGAAATTAGATAATTTTAGACCAAAGAGACTACAATTATGCCCTTGCCTTCCTGACATGTTCTATCCTTGGATTTTGATTCCAAGGAGAGTTAGCCTGTCTGTGAAGGTTATTCAGTTGTTCAACAGGCATTCATTAAATATCTACTCTGGGCATTTAGAAATGCTTGGAAGAACTACTTTAACCACTATTATTGAACTGTGAACAGCTTCACAGTTTAGACATGTTGCCTACCCTCAGGAGCTTCTACAGAGGAGAGATAAGACATAGATTACACCTCTATCCCCGGTGTTATCTGTGAAGTCCCACCCAAATACTTGAACAGAATGAGAGAGGAGGCACCCTCTTCCTTTCCAGCTGTCAGTCAATACAGTCCATTTTTTGCTTAACCTGGTTAAAATAAGTGTGTTATTTGAATGTAAAGAGCCATTTACTAATCTAGATGGATTAAAGTTTGACAAAAAATGAGAGGGATCAAGCAATTTTAATTAAGGAGACTAGAATAGGCATAGGCACAGATGCAGAGAAGAGCAGCAACCACCTGGGGGAGTTAAGGAGAAAAGGCTGGCGATGCAGCTTGGGCAGATTATGGAAAGCCTTAAATGTCTGTTTTTGAAGTGTGCAATGTATTAGAGTTACACTGCTTCAGTGACTCTCAGGTCTTTGGGAAGCTGAAGGCAATGTTTTCTTCCTCTGATTTAGCAGTGCATTTTGAAGTAGGGCAGCCTTCAGATATTCTAGTGAAATAAGGAGCTAAGTAAACTGTTACTCTAAAAAGAAAATACATTATTAGCATTGTTAAGATAACACTTGCACCTACCTCTTCATCAGGGGATGTTCCTAATGCCTGTCATCAGTAACAAGGCCAATTTTGATCCTCAGTGTCTAGGGAATCCCTTCTCCCACCCACTTGCCAAAGACATTGATAGGTATGGGTCGTCACGTGCATTAAAGACAGGGTTGAACCTTATCAAACCAGGAGTGAGAAAACCAGCCTATCTGCCTAATGTATGACATTGTTTGTTTAGAAGGAGTCTCCCTCTGTTGGCCAGGCTGGAGTGCAGTGGTGTGATTAGAGTTCACTACATTTCCTCCAACTCCTAGGCTCAAGGGATTCTCCCACCTCAGCCTCCCAAGTAGCTGGGACTACAGGCCCAACCCACAGTGCCCCACTCCTAAAATTCTTACCAAAATCTGCCACACTGTATAAAAATCCATTCCTAATATCTGAAAAATTGGATCCAGTAGGGAGCCAATGGAGCTTTTTAAGTACAGCATTTCTAATTATGTTTCTGTAGAAGAGAGGCTCCTCAGGAAGGCCGTAGTATGCAAATATTTTAAATTTATGGACGAATACGTTTGTGAAACACTATTTGAAACAACGCCAAAGAGATTTCTTTTTCTGAACCTTTCATATGCTCTTACACATTATGGCTCTCTAAGAAGGCGATAAAGCACACGCTTGTCAAATTCATTGGTCTCATGTCCTTTTTTCAAAGGAGTATCTTGTATTTCTAGTAGAAGTTCTGTAGAATATACTTTGGGAAACAATAAAGTATTAGTTATGTGATCAGGAATATGTGCTTATGTGCTTTAGGAATATTCATTTGGAGGCTACATACATTAAGGATAAAGTAGAGAGACAGAGGCAAGGAAAACAGGCGATATGTCCAGGTAAACATAGTCCAGGTGATGAGAGTGATTATCAAAAGGTAACATAAATACATTGTGAATTTCAATTGGGCAGGACTTTGCAATTGAATGGAAATAGGCAGCAAGGAGAGGACACAGGTGGTACAGAGTCATAGTTTCAAACACACATTTTGTTGACTAGAAAAATTGGTACACTCTTCATAAAAATTAAGAAAATAAAATCTGCACCTTAGTGGGATCTGGATAAGCTTACCAAGGGAATGAAAGACCTACAATTAATTCTGCTGGAAAGATAGCTGAACCTTGCCCTTTTCTTCCAGTTGGACTTTTCACCCTTTCTTTTTCTTTTCTACCTTCTGTCGGCCCTCTTAAAGTTACCTTTATCACCAGATCTGGCTACTGAGGGAAGCAATCTCATTGGTCTCTTTTTTTCTGTCTCCCAAATGGAATTAAAACAAAACAAAAATAACACAACTCTTATTTTTCAGAGTTCTTAAAACTGCTTTTTAGGAGTTTTAGTGCTGATGAATAGAGGAAATAAATATGTTATTAGGACCCAACTTAAACATATACTAGCCAGTTGCTTAGTATGATATAAGAAGAAGGGGCAATACAAATAGAAAATTACAATGGCTTTTTAAAAACTTACAGAAATGTAATTGTTTGGGACTACTCTTAAAACGCATCTCTTTTAGAATGACAACATGCTATGATTAATCATTGATATTATATAAAAATTCATTTTGTGCACTAATATATGGATGCTTAATAATATGGTCTGCTCTTGGGAAACTTAGTTGTCCCTGCTTTAGATAATTTAATTAAAAAGAGGTTTAGGTTGGTTTGTGCTTCTACAACATAGTCTTTGTGACTCGAGGGTCACATTGTAACTTGAATGCTACTGCAGAGGTTAAGAACAAGAATTTAGATATCCATTAACTCAGATTTAAAATAATGGAGCACTTATGTAAACAGGGTTCTCCTCTTGCCAAACAAAACATAACCACACCATTTTCTTTTCTACTGCACATACGTTATTATTCAACCAAAGCCCTATTCTTGATGACCCCATTCCAGAACAAACAGAAATGAAGTCACTTCCACTTGGCCCTCCCTTGTTTTAGTGCACTTTTGTGACTTTTGTTCCTTCATTTGACAGATCTCATCTTCTTTTCCCTCACAAGCTAAAAAATATGCTTCCAAGGCATATTTAATGCTGAATCATTTTGTAGGTGATAATTATAAGAGGCAACTGGTCTGCCTGTCACCTCAGCATAATTGATAGCCCTCTCTTCCACTCCCAAGTGCCTCATTTGCTGATATGGTGACCCGATGTGTCATACCTAATTTTTCTCTTCTCATCCCCCAATTTCCCATTTCCAATTTTAACCACATTTATTTTTTAAAGCACAGGATTATATACTAAATGGGGAAGAAAGAAGTCATCTAGTTGTATTTCACACTATGAGAATTCCTTTGACAAAATCCTTCATAGGATGCCTCTATCTGAACTTTCTGGCAGCTAATTCATTACCTTTTCAGGTGGTATTTTCCACTACTGGGCATCTCCCCCTTTTTGTTTTCTGAGACAGTATTGCTCTGTTGCCTAGGCTGGAGTGCCCTGGCATGACTCAGGTCACTGCAACCACCGCCTCCTGGATTCAAGCAATCCTCCTGCCTCAGCTTCCTGAGTAGCTGGGATTACAGGCACACACCACCAGACCTGGCTAATTTTTGCATTTTTAGAGACTGGGTTTCACCATGCTGGCCAGGATAGTCTCTAACTCCTGACCTTGTGATCCACCCACCTCAGCCTCCCAAAGTGCTAGGATTACAGGTGTGAGCCATTGTGCCCGGCCACTACTAGTCATCTCTAAGGTTTTTTTTTTTTTTTATTGCATTTTAGATTTTGGGGTACATGTGAAGAACATGCAAGATAGTTGCATAAGTACACACGTGGCAGTGTGATTTGCCATCTCTGAGTTTTAAGAAAGTCTTATCTTCAGCTTTAATTTTATTCTTCTTCCCCAGTCTGAAACTCTGGTTATAGTTTGGAATTCCTTTCTCAACCACGAGTTTTTGTAATGCCCAGGTTAATGCATCAATTGCATATTATAAACGAACTTCTTTTTAGTTATTTGAAATATTAGTTACATATTACCCTTGGGAAAATTGAGAAAATAGTTACTCAAGTCATTTTTTTGCCTTCAGATGAGGCACCTCATTTGAAAGACTGCAGGACTCTATCATTTAGTAGCTGTATGACCTTGGAAAGTTTATTTTATCTCCTTCAGGCTGTTTTTCAGCAACAAAATGAAAGTAAAATACCCCTCTTATGGTCTGCTGTGAGAATCCCTTAGGAGCAGAGACTTTATCATGCTCACCACTTAGTTCTAAGTGTCTACTGCAGGCAGTAGCAAGGAAGAGTAAGTTCTCAATAAATCTCTCTATAAACAATAAAAAGTCCTAGCACATTGACTTGCACATAGCACTCAATAAAAGGTAGCTATTACTATTCTTTCATTCTTCCTATGATCTTGTTTCTAGAATTCTCAATATATTAATTCTCACCCTCTTATGGAAGCTACCTTGTTTAATCAACATTCTTCTTAAAATATAGTTCTAACAATTCAATACTACGTGGTGTATGGGGAGACTGCTTTATCTGAACATAATTATTTTAAAGAAGTCTAAACAAGAGTCTGCTGGGAAAAAGCTAGTCTACCAGCCTATATAAAGAGTAGGTGCTTTAAAAACCCATTAACTTTCTCACAATACAACCCTTTAAACACTGGGAAATGTACGGTTAAGAGAACATAAAATATCAGCAAACAAGAAGTGATCAGTCAGGTAAGAGAAGATCCAGGATAGTGCAGCATTATGGACCAATAGTTAGGTTTATTACTGTATCTAATAAACAGCCCAGTGTGGTGATTTCTATTCACTTAGTAGCCTCCCCATCTAGAATATACTCGGTAATCTTTTTTGATGGCCAGACTGTATAAAGTTCATACACAGTGTTTACTCCAGGGATCCCCAAATATTGTTAGTTGAATGAATAAACACAAATTTCAAGGAGGGCTACAGTGAGCGGATGAACAGCTTTCTGATAGGAGACTGTACAACTAATGTTTTCACCAGTGTATTTTACGACAGCAGATTCAGATTAAGGCGCTGGGATTGAATGCAAATAGTAAAATTACAAATATAAGGAAAATATTTATTTGGAACCTTTGCCAAAGAAAGAAAGGTAAATTGATTTAATAATTTGAAAGAACAGTAAGGTGTAGGGTTTGTTACTTTTAGTGTGACTGAGATTGGAGTTTGTAGACATATCTGAAATAAAAAGTGAAGGGAGAGATGGAAGATGGTAAATGCTGAGGAAACGATGGAAGGATAAGTCACTGTAATAAAAAGGAGCATTTCTTTTTCGCCAACAGAAGTAAAAGTAAAATGTCTGAGTTGAAGAGGTAGACAGGAAGCTGGAATCTTGGGATTCCTTGCAGGAAAGCTGTGAACAAAAGGTGAATGAAAGGATTGTTGTTCTCTGGGGAGGGTGGTCCCATCAGCTCAGCTTTGAGACGACCTAAGACAATCCCGCTGGGCGCGGTGGCTCACGCCTGTAATCCCAGCCTGTAATCCCACTTTGGGAGGCTGAGGCGGGCGGATCACCTGAGGTTTGGAGTTTGAGACCAGCCTGACCAATATGGTGAAACTCCGTTTTGAAAAAAAGAAAAAATAAATAAAGAGAAAAAAAGAAAAAAGAAAATCCCTTCCACCCACCCCCTTCCCTGATCCGATCATTCTGGCTGCATAAAACCACCTGAATCAATCAACTGTTACACTTCCGTTAGTGCTAGGATATATTCATATAACTCCCACGTATTATATTAAATGAAAATAAATCCATCTAAAAATAAGACAACACGATTGCTGCTACACCAACAAAGGATTTTAAAGAGGCGTGTTTACAAGCTAATTGAGGGCCAGAAGAAAGGAGTTCGTTTAAACTTAAAGTCGAGCTGCGATGACACCTCCTAATGCAATCAAACGCTGTTGCAGCACACTTCTTAAGAGATCGGATTTAACGTCAGGTATCGGGTAGGGTGAGAGTCGGCCGTGGCGGCTCCGGCTCCGGCCCCCGCCATTCCCTCGACGGCTCTCGGCCCGAACGCCTGGTCGCAAAGCCTGCCGAGGTTCTAGATGAACTGCCTCGGGCCTGGAAACAAGGAAGCCGTCTCCAGAGACCATCGCCAACGCTGACGCCGGCGAGCTGAGGTCGCCGTGGGAAAAGCGGTAGGCTACCCTGCTTCTCTGATCACCGGCGGACAGGGACACGCTGTTTAGGGCCATCTTCAAACATTGCCCGCAGTATTTGCGCTACGTCTCTTGGTCAAGGCAGGCCCTTCGCGGCTCCCTAGATCAGTCCACCCTGTCTCGGACACAGCTACTAACCACACCGGAAGCCATAACTGGGCCGGCGGAAGAGCAAGACGCCGTCTTGCCTTTAACGAGCGCCACCCTCATGAGCATGCGCAGTCCGTCCGCGCACGTCGACTCCCAGAGTGCAAGCGCAATGGGCGTTTACGTTGGTGACGCAAGGGAGCGTGAGGAGGTGGGGCTTCCGAGATTGCGCAGTGAGTGCGTCGGCCTCGACCCTTTGGCCAGGTTAGGGAGGGGGCGACGTTGAGATGGGGGCGGCGGCGGCGGAAGCGGATCGTACTCTCTTTGTGGGCAACCTTGAAACGAAAGTCACCGAGGAGCTCCTTTTCGAGCTTTTTCACCAGGTAAGCGTCTGGGATCGGCCCTTTTGCCTTTCCTTTTCCGTTTGGCCTAGGGCCCGGCCGAGCGGCCACCCAGTTTTCTTTGCGCGAGCTCTGCCTTCTGGGGACCGGACGGGTGGCTGTTTGGGGCTGAAGGGCGCGTCTGGGTTGGGAAACGCTCGCTGGGTGTCGCTTTCCTGGAAGATCTTGCTTCGTTTAGGCCAAAAGTGACGACTAAAGGTGGTGGAGGGATCCTCGGTCAAGCTTGTAGAGATCCAGGGGTCCTTAGGGACATGGTGCGTGTGAAGGGTCTTCGTTGAGCAGCGCGTTTTATTTCTCCTGTTCTCATCTTCCTCTTAGGATAATTTGTCTTTGGTTTATCTGACTGGGAACGTAATATTTTAATTTATTTGTGTCTGTTTTCCCTTAAAGTTTGCTTATAAAATTGCAACATTATTTAAATACATAAAATAAAATCGTAAGTGCTCCGTAGAAAAACGGCATTTAGTGTTGCTGTATTAAAATGTGTGATAGATTCTGAGTATCCCATTCCCCCTAGCCCTATCCCCTAACAACTGGTATTGTTTGATTAATCAATACAAAAGTCAGTTTTTAGCCCAAGAAAATCATTCTCTTGTTCTTCATAAATGTTCATTTTCACGGAGTGGCAAAATAATGGCGATTGGTCACTATGTTAAGAAGTCATACAGTGCTGTGATTTACAAAAGTGATGGTGTTTCCAGTTCCTTATAAGCCCCCTTCCCCAAATAAGTAAATCTAATGTTCAGTCATAACTAGGATGCTTACTGTAGCCAAAATGGAAATCGGTGCATCAGTTTTAAACGAAGTTTCCGATTACATTTTTGTTGTTTTTAAACTTTGTCATCTCTTATTTGTATAATTTGAGTATTTTCCGTTAGTTGCTTTATGTACATTCTAAACGCCTTTTTGTTTGTAGGCTGGGCCAGTAATAAAGGTGAAAATTCCAAAAGATAAGGATGGTAAACCAAAGCAGTTTGCATTTGTGAATTTCAAACACGAAGTATCTGTTCCTTATGCAATGAATCTACTTAATGGAATCAAACTTTATGGAAGGCCTATCAAAATTCAATTTAGATCAGGTAACTGTCCAATGAGGTTAGGGGGGCATTGTTTCCTGCTGTTTTTAGATTTATTATTAATTTTAAAGACCCTCTTATTTGTAGATGAAACTGCTTTCTTCATTGTGAATAGCAAACTTTATATATCCCTGAAAATGGGTAACATTGACAGATTTTGAAATTATAATTTTAAAACTGAGCTTAAAATTTCATTTTGGGTTAGTGAAAAGAACATAAACTGTATCACTAGGAGAGTTGGGCTGGAGTGCTCTGAAAAGAGCTAGGTTTATTTTCTGAAAGTACTTCTGGCTGCTTTGTAATTACTTTTATATGTTTTGATTCTTGATTATGTGAGGGTAAAACTTTCCATGTATCCAGTCTTACAATTTAGGGTGGTGATTAGAAAAATATGATCAGATTGGATATTTATGGAATGCTTTGTTTTGCGTATCCGATATTATACACTTATAATGTTCACTCTGATGAAACTGTAAAGCAGTCTACAGCAGTTTGAGACTTTTTGTTTGTTTGTTTTCTGAGACAGAGTCTCAAACAGAATCTTGCTCTGTTGCCCAGGCTGGAGTGCAGTAGTGTGATCTCGGCTCACTGCAACCTCCGCCTCCGAGGTTCAAGCGATTCTCCTGCCTCGGCCTCCTGAGTAGCTAGAATTACAGGTGCGTGCCACCACGCCCAGCTAATTTTCATATTTTTAATAGAGATGGGGTTTCACCATGTTGGTCAGGCTGGTCTTGAACTCCTGACTTCATGATCCTCATGACTCCTGACATCATGATTCTCATGACTCCTGACCTCATGATCCTTGTGACTCCTGACCTTGTGATCCGCTCGACCTCTCAAAGTGCTGGGATTACAGGCATGAGCCAACATGCCTGACCAGCAGTTTGAGATTTTTCTCTTGTAGACTGTTTACCTTTTTGAAGTGATTTCAAGTGGGAAGACAAAATTTCAAATTAAATTTTCTATCAAAAATAATTTTTCAAATAATTTCATTTTAGGAAGTAGTCATGCATCGCAAGATGTCAGTTTGTCATATCCCCAGCATCATGTTGGAAATTCAAGCCCTACCTCCGCATCTCCTAGCAGGTAGTATTTCTCACTTATTGTTAAGATCATGTATCAGGAATTCTTATACGGAATAGCCTCAAAACACATGTGTGAATAGTTTCCTTTTTATGGTCCTGTGTCTTTATTCTTCTGCTGTATTACTTGCCTTTTGGGGTTATTGTTATATATCTATTCTAAGGGGGCTATTGACAAACACATTCTATATAGTTCCCTTAAAATAGATACTTATGAAACTATATGTTCATTTGTTGCAACATAATCACGCCCACATATGTGTACAGTATATGTATACACTTGAAACAAAATTTCTCAAAACATTACTTACCCTCACTACTTGCATTTCTCTTTTACTTCATTTTTTAAAATTTTATATTTATTTTACAGTCATTAATTGGTTGTTACTTATAGTTGAAAAATACCAGTTAGTCAGCAGACTACTGGACTAAGAATTCCTGGAATTGGATTCTAGGTCTGCCTCTATCAGTTGTATAATCTTGAGCTAGTCTCCTTTCCTTAGTCCCATCTTCCCATGTGTAAGGAAAAGAAGTTGAATTAAATGATTTGTAAAATCCCTTCAGGTACTGAGTATTAGAAGGTGTCATATTTACTTAAATAATTTTATTTGCTTTGGGGAGGTTAATATTTTACCAGGAATATACCAGTTTTTTCCTGGTATATTCATAGAGCTATTTAAGAGTCATTTAAGGCCGGGCACGGTGGCTCACGCCTATAATCCCAGCACTTTGGGAGGCTGAGGTGGGTGGATCACGAGGTCAAGAGATCGAGACCATCCTGGTCAACAACGTGAAACCCCGTCTCTACTAAAAATGCAAAAATTAGCTGGGCATGGTGGTGCGCGCCTGTGGTCCCAGCTACTTACGAGGCTACAGCAGGAGAATTGCTTGAACCCAGGAGGCGGAGGTTGCAGTGAGCCGAAATTGTGCCGTTGCACTCCAGTCTGGGTAACAACAGCGAAGCTCCATCTCAAAAAAAAAAAAAAAAGAGTCATTTAAGAAAGATTTAATAAATACCTGCCATATGTCAGGTTCTTCACCAAATCTTTTACATATATGATTTCATTTATTCCTCACAGCAGTTTTATGAGGGTAGGGATTATTTTTATCTCTACCATATATATGAAGGGAAATGAAGAATGGAGGTTAACTTGCTCAGATTCAGTGGGCTGGGATTCAAACCCAGGCAGTATAGTGTAATTAAGCCCAACCACTCTGGGGAGGAGCTTTAAGTCTAAAGACACGTATTATATATATTTTTGTGACTACCTGTTCGATTATTGTAATAAGCTCTCTAAAGAAAGAGTAGAAAGGGCATTGAGAAAATTTTAAGAGAAGGAGATGATATAGAGGAATGTGGAACTGAAAGAAGCCAGTGTACCTAGATCATAATGAATGAAAATGGAGAGCAGTAGGGGATATTGGTAGATAGGCTGGAGAGGGTCTTGTAAACTATTATCAGGATTTTGAGGTTTTACCCTAAAATAGAATAGGAAGGCAATGAAATGTTTTAGGTAGAATACTGATGGGAACAAGTTTATATTTTAAGAGTTGTTTGGCTGCAGTAGGATAATGGACTGGAGGGCATAAGCGTGAAAATACAGCAGTGAGGACTTGGTAGCAGGGTAGTGAGGAAGCTATTGATGGATGAGGTTGATAGTTTAGTTTAAGGTGGTGCCATGAGCTAGAAGTGGATGGATATGAAGAGATACTGGAAGGTGGAATTGTAAGCAAGCAGTAGTGCAAAAAGGGTATCCTCCTGGTATTCTTTCTTGCCTGCTGAAGTTAGCTAACAGTGTTTAAACATTTCTTGGTAAAGTTGGAATTTAAAGCACTTTCAGCCACTTTAATGAATCTTCAAAGGCATCCTAGGTGGAGGAAAAAAAGAAGTTTCCCCCTCAATTTCTTGCAGGGTAAAAAAGCCAGGTGCAGTGACCCATGCCTGTAGTCCCAGCTACTTGGAAGGCTGTGGTGGGAGGACCACTTGAGGCCTTGAGTTTGGGACCAGCCTAGGCAATATAGTGAGACACTCTCTTTCGTTAAAGAATTTCTTTGAAAAAAATATGTAATAAATACTTTGGTTTTAATCAAAGGCTAAAGAGTTTGTAATTTTTATAATATAAATTGTACCCCCCCCCACTTAGCATACGGATAATATAACCTGATTAGAGAAAACTGAAAATTAAAAGATTCAAACTGTAAGACTAGCCAATTAGTTATTTGATTCTAATGACATTTTAAAATAATTTAAAACATTCTTAAAGTGAGTTTTTCTGTAGAGCAAATTACTCCTATAGGAAGTAAGGAATAAGGTATAAATCCTCAAAAGTAATGTCCTATGCATGTTGTAGAACTCTTAACTCCTTACCTCTGAAAACCTTTCTTTTCTG